CCTCCACTGCTGCCACTGTGATCTGAGCCACCATTATAGCTTGTCCTGGACATTTTGCGGTACCTTCCTCTCTGGCATCCCTACTCCTATCCTGGTTTATACCCCCTCCAGTCTACTTACAGCAGCCAAAGTGATCTTTTTAAAACAAAATCTTGTTATTTCACCCCTCTGCTAAAAATTCTCCTGTGGCTTCTCATCTCTTCCAGAGTGAAACCATGGATTCTTATGACCCACAATGTGCTGATTTCAAACTTGCACGTTATCTTGCCCCCTCCCCACCTGGCTACTTCTGTGGTCTCCTTGCAGTTCTGGAAACACCCTGAGCACACTCTCACCTCAGGGCCTTTGCACTTGCTGCTCCTTCAGTCCAAAAGGCTCTTGCCCCAGATATCCTTTTGGCTAACTCCTTCTCTTCATTCAGATCTTTGCTTCTGTGTCACCACATCGGAGAGACCTTTCTTGATGAACCCAACTGCAGACACAGCCTATGTCACCTCTGTCTGTTACCCAGGTTTATTTTTCTTCTTCCTTTTTGTCATCACCTGCCAATATTGTATGCATTTTTAATTATTTGTTTGTGGCCTGTGTGCCCATACTAAAATGTTAGCTCTGTAAGATTAGGGACTCTGTTTTTATTCATAGCTGTATTCCCAGTTCCTAAAACGTTCTAGTTGGTGCTTAGGAAATAATTTGTTGTTGAGTGAATGCTTTTTGTAAGATTATACTGTTTTCCTTAGTTTCTTGAATGTTAGCATACAAATTCCTCATGTTTGGAAGTAGGTCATTTATAGGATTATCCGTTAGCCAGCGTTTATCAAGGATCTTCTTTGTGCAGAGCACAATATTTTGAACTCCTTCATTTTGGACTTAGGTGCTAAGATTTATGCCTATTGTTATTACAGAGCGTTTTGTCATTGCTGTGTAAACACGGATCTCTGCAGCATCAGAACAATTCCTTTTTCTTAGCATTTTCTGGAAAGTCCTAGGGTGTCTACCAATTAGATAATCAAGGGCTTTTTTTGTGGAAAATTTCATTTCAAAGGTCTGCAAATACAGTAATGCAAACTCCAAAACTGGAATATACACGTATAATTATTCAGATTTGGGGAGGATATTAAGTCCTGAAATGGTAAATGAATACTCAGATTTAAGGAAATGAAATTTCCCTAATATATCTCATAGGAGCCCCAACCTCTGCCTTAAGAATGGGTTCTGCCTACACTGGTGAATTTAATGCTCATTAAAGGCAGATTAGACACTGTGTCTCGAATCCCATACTGTATAAATAGATGGGAGCCTGGTGTCTTCTGGATCTACATTTTCCCAAATCATTATTGTGAGTTGTTCTGCCCATTTGTAAATTGAGAAAGCATGTTTAGTACACAGATGACCACCAATGAAAGATGCTCTACCATGTGAAGTTCCATTGTTTGATTCTTGAATATCCGCCATGCAGCTTTGGGCATCCTTCATCCCACTACTCCATGGAATTGATTCTTGTTCTGACTCAAGACCCCCTAAATTGTTTTATGAAGTCCAGATATCTAAGCAAGATGCTGCAGTGGGTGAGAAAAAAATACCAAGTTGTCTCCAGTGATTTTTCTTTTTTTAAATAGGCTGAGCAAGAACAAAGTACCAACAGCTTTATTTTATGAACTAATTAATTATTTTCAGTTTGGGATTCTAAATTTGAAGACCAGGACACTTGCCCCCATCTGTAGCTGTTTCTAAGCTAGTAATATTTGTAATGGCAACTTGTTGAGCTTGAGCAAATTGTAAAGGTTTGTTCTACCCAAAATGCTTCCTATAAAAGTATGACTGTCTTCTTGACTTGTTTCCCATAATGTTTTCCTGAGTAAGAAGGAGAAATAGATTAATTATTACTTGTTGGGGTTTGTTTAACAGTTTAAGGATGTACCTAGGTGACCTTTTGACATGTAAAATATTTCTTTATTTTTATGTAACTTGAAATATTCCTTTTTAAATTCTTGGCAAGTAGCAAGATCTATAAATTTGTATTTGTTTAAATAGATGATCTTGCTTAAGCTTCAGAGTATCTAAAATTTTCACTTAAACTTTCATATTATCAACTTCCTGATGTAATTAATTTTCTGGACCGTAGCAGTGGAAAGGGACCCCAATACTTCTTTAGTGCTGTCCATAATGAAGTGTTCTTTGGCAACTTCACTCAGTAGATATTCATTACGCCCCTGCTATGTACCAGCTACTGTTCTACGCACTGATGGTATAGTGGCGAATAAGATCATATCTTTATGTTGTTTGTGTTCTAGAAATTGACATTGTCCAGTGATTGGACTTCATTTTCTGTGCCGTTTTGCCTCCCTCCTGCCACGGCTGCACACATTTCTGATGTTTGAACCAGCCTGAACTACGTGCAGTTCCCTGAAAACATCATGCTCTTTTATGTCTCCTTTTTTTGGCTCCTGCTGTTCCCTCATTTGTTTACCTGGCAAACACTTCCACTTCATTTAAGATTAAGCTCAAAAGCTATTTCATCTCTACATCCTTCCCATCCTCTGCTAGGCCATGTTAACTGCCTTGATTTTAAACCATTCGAAAATAAATACCCTTTACAGAATAGAATTTACATTTCTTAGCTGGAAAAACATAACTGACTTGGAATTCCTGAGAGTATGCCTCCCTTTTCCCCACCTCCAGAGCCAGGGGCTTCTCTAAGCTGTCCACGGTTTAGCTGAATGATGACTTAACTTGTGGCACCATCAAGTGGTTCAGTCAGGTGGTGCAACTTAATTCCCCTACAAGGTCGAGGAGTCCAGTTTATGCCATGTATATATTAAAGGAGGGAGAAAGGATAGAAGAAAGGAACAAAGAATTATAATACAATTGAAAGAGTAATTATCAGACCATCTCTATCTCAGGAAGCTCAAACTTTACGATACTTAGCAGGCTTGCGATCTAGATATGGAAACGGTTTTCTAATCTTCACATTTTTGTGACCTTTAAACCTGAGTCATAGAGATGAGAAATGGTTTGCTTATGTTCTTTCATTATTTGAGACCAGAGTATATGTGTGTACTCTGTTGTGTTTTCATTGCTGCTCTGCTTTGGTTGGTGAACAAACTTTCCCTACCCATTGAACAGCCTCACTGCACTCTGCATTTCATACTTTTATGAGTCTGAGATCTCTCTTTGGTCTGTGCTCTCATGCTATATCCTTGCAGCAAAATGGTGTTAAAATTAAAGACCTTTTTGACAAAAAAATCTTTGCTTACTAAGTGAGGGATAAATGTACAGCAATCATTCCAATAAACAGATTTTCAAAAATCCAAGGTTACCTAATCAAAGTTGCCCCAGGTATTGAAGTATGTCATGACGTTAGTTTGCTTAGTGTGGGTTTGTGGCTGCAGGGACTGGGAAAGAGAAAGGTGGAAGATGATAGTGGTTAGGCCCTTGGGTTCTTGGTTCTAACTAGCAAGCTGAAGTTTCAGCCCACCTGTCAGGGATGGTGGGTTGTATTCCTTGACTCTTACTTGGAGTGGGAAAAATACAAAACACAAAATTGCAAAAACCCACACATACACAAAAATCCAAAGAGACATGGGAACACTCTGTCTAGGTCTCAGTAGGAAAGAAATACATTGTGTGGAACAGATCTCAATTTTGTTTCTACCTCTAGTAATGAAGTTTTTGATTTTGACCACCATGTGTTGGAACCAATCCTCTTCTTTAATAGAAGCATCATTGTAATTTATACCCTTTCCTTTCACGCATGTGAGATAAACAGAATATATTCACTCATTGATGAACTACCATGCCCAAGTTATTAATATTTCAGACTACAGAAGGGACCTCTCATATCATGACTCAGGACTCATTGTAATAGGATTTCCTTATATTCTATGTTGAATCACATCCAAAATATATAGCAAGGGACTGGTTCTTGCTCTGATGCCCATGCTGGTCTCAAACTCCTGGCCTCAGGCAATCCTCTTGCCTCAGCCTCCCAAAGTGCCAAGATGTAGGAGTAAGCCACCACACCCAGTCTGTTTCCATGTTGATATACTGTCTCCCTCTCAAAAAAAAAAAAAAAAAAAAAAAAAGAGGGGGGGTGGTTCTATCTTATCAATAGCAAAGTTTATAAAACTTGGAAGCAGAAAGAATAGTAAGTAATTAGGGAAGAAAAATAATAGCCCAAGGCTGAGAAAGTATCTATTTTAGAAGGACCAAGCTGATAGAACAAGCTTAATTAATCATAAATTATGAGAAAATTAATATTATCTATTTAGGAAGATAAAATGCCAAAAATCTACTTGATGGTTCTGTAGCAATATTCAGTGTAGTCAGGGTAGAAAGGGTATCCTATCTTGAATCTCTGCTCTCTAGATTTCTATTTAATTTGTGTTCCTTTTTAAAAAGGTTCAAAAAGGTGTATTTCTGGATTTTTTTGGTTTGTTTGTTTGTTTGTGAGACAGTCTTGCTCTGTCGTCACAGCTAGAGTATAGTAGCATCATCATAGCTTACTGCAACCTCAGACTCCTGGCCTCGGATGATCCTCCTGCCTCAGCCTCCTGAGTAGGTGAGACTGCAGGCGTGCACCACCATGCCCAGTTAATTTTTCCTATTTTTAGTAGAGGCAGGGTCTTACTCTTGCTCAGGCTGGTCTTGAACTTCTGACCTCAAGTGATCCTCCCTCCTCAGCTTCCCAAAGTGCTAGAATTACAGGCATGAGCCACCACGCCTGGCCTATTTCTGCTTATTTTTAATACTTATCCTAGTCTCAAATTCTGATTTATTGATAGATTGATTTGTTAGAATTTGGTTTAAGCTATCCTGTGTTCTGTCAAGCTGACTTTAGAGAGGTGCTTCTCTTTTCTTCTCTCTCTCTGAAGATACAAACATTAGGTTTCGTCAGGATGTTTCTACCACTAAGAGCAATCACACACCACTGTAAATTTTGAGTTTGTGGCCTTCCTAATCAGTGACATGTTTTTTTGGGGGGGCGGGTGTTGCCTTTCTAGTGTGTCCTGCCATACTTCGTAGCCACAAAAATGGCTAAAATCCGGAAGCCAACTTTTGATAAACCCTCTTCGGAGACGTTTGTGAAGTACGCAATTAAAACAGTAGGCTTGCAATCCCGGACCAATGGATACCCGATCCATTCTCTTATGGTACGTAAATCTTTAAGCCCCAAATCAGTACTTTCCGGTTTGGGGTTTTCTTTCCTATTAAGTCACAAAATAGTATGTGAGATATTAGCACATATACCTTATCTAGACATACTAACAAGGCATCTGTGTTTTATTTTAAACTGTACACTCAAGAACTTTAAAAATCTACCTATAAATAAAGCAGCAATATAATAAAATGTTAAATCATGCTTCAATTTGGCCCAAATTATAAGCTTTAATTACATATCTGTCCCTTTTTTTCCCCTAGGGCTCAATATTCTCAATCCTGCCTTCTTGGATTTATTTAAAAATAGTCGTGGGTGTCCACAAGTCCATACGGGCTCGCTTTCTGAAGAAAACCAAGAAGAACTAAGCATTGATAACTGCCTTGAGTAACTTGGCCACGTGCTCTACCTGTGCGTGTTCACCGCAAAGCACCCCACTGGTCTTTGAAATCTGCAGCTGTCTTTTGAATAGTTTCAATACTGACATGGCTAAATATTGTCTTAATTGGGAGGAAAACAGAAGTTGTTTTTAGGAGTTTCTGACATTTATTCTGGCTACTACTACGAGTAATTTTGAAGTTTAATATAAATGCTCATATCAAATGAATATAGAACTAATATTACCAAAAACACTTAATAGGACATGATGAGAGCCAATCACAGAATGATAGAGTCCAACATAAAACTCAACAGTTTTATCTGTTCCAAAATGCCATTGATCATTGTATTTTCTCTGAAACTGATTATAAACGTAATGTCTAGATATTCTTTTTCATTTTTAACACTTTGAGGGAATGGAGATTAATTGATTTGCTTGGGGGAGGACACACTACAATTTACAAAGATCTCTATAAAGTTTTCTAAAAGTATGTTCCAGCTGGTACATTTATATGGAACTATTCTTTCTCAAAGGTAGCTAATGATGTAAAAATAATTGTGAAATATAGAGTTATTTCTAACACATAAAGCCTACTAAACTATGCTTTCTTGTAATACACATTTCCTCTCAGTTTAAATGTACATAAATACTGAAAGCTGCCTGGTACTATGTATAAAGGTAAATGGACCGAAGTGTACCTCGAGACTGGCAGCTACCTACGGTGCCACGAAACCCTAACCCGAGAGTGACCTGCTTGGACTGCCAGCCGCCTTTGTTTCTGCACGGAACCAATACTGCTCACAAATGTGACACCGGCTATTCCTGTAAAAGTAATGATATCATAGAAATGGCATGCTATTGAATGAAAATACATTTCTTTGGTGCTTGAAATTAAGGCCATATTTATACTGGCTTAGTAAGACTGACTTTTATCCTGCTACATAATTTGTGTGGGGAAAGCACCAAAAAAGAATTCAGTACTATAGAAAATATGCAACACAGAAGGTTGGCTTTTACCTAGGCTATGGTTCCTAGGCTCTGAGTTTTAAGCACCAGTAAATTTATCAAAGAAATTTTTTTAATTGGGGCTTTTAAGTGTTCCTGGCTTTTAATTTTGCCAGCTAAGGACATAAAACAAAAACAGGAAAAAAACCCAAACTACCATCTGCTATCAGCATCATTATGTAAGAGAAAATATATTTTAGCACCAAAAATTAGCAAGAACATAATCTCAGAATGAAGGAATGTCATTTAAATTGAATAAATTTAGCTTTTTGAAAAACATATTATTTTCCTTTTTTCTTCTATCATTTTGTCGTAGAAATGGTGATACCGCAATGGCCTGTGCAGTATTTTATCTGCTTTCGCATGTTGGTTGGTTGATTGGTTGGTTGCTTGCTTGCTTTGGTGGTTGGTTTTGGTGGAGAGGTGGTAGATAGGGAGAGATTGGTTTGTGAGGATACAATATACTTTTTCTTTTATCGCAGTTAGAAAATACTTGTAATTCTGGCTAGAAAATCCCTTAGCAATTTTAAAACTTCTGGGCTATGGCTTTGATTGCTTCAACTTGGCAAGTATCCTCTTGTATTTGATACACCATGATCAAGATGATGACATGAACACGAAAAATCATGCTAAAGGAGAAAACAATATACTCCAAACCTTCAAAACAATGAAGCATGATGTTTAGACTTAACTTTATGTTGACTTGATTTTATGTTCTGATGTGTACTAGATAAGATTTGAACCCAGGCCGGGTGCAGTGGCTCACATCTGTAATCCTGGCACTCTGGAAGGCCGACAGGGGAGGATTGCTTGAGCTATTGGAGACCAGCCTGAGCAAGAGTGAGACCCCGACTCTACAAAAAATAGAAAAATTAGCCAGGCATCTTGGCTGCACCTGTAGTCCCAGCTACTCAGGAGGCTGAGGCCTGAGGATCCCTTGAGCCCAAGAGTTTGAGATTGCAATGATGCCACTGCTCTCTAGCCGGGATGACAGAGTGAGACTATGTCTAAAAAAAAAAAAAAAAAAAAAAAGGCAGCCTGGCACAGTGGCTCATGCCTGTAATCCCAGCACTTTGGGGTGCCAAGGTGGGAGAATCACTGGAGGCCCAGAGTTTAAGACCACTCTGGGCAACTTAGTGAGATCCTGTCTCTACAAAAAATAGTTAGCTGTGTGTGGTGGCACACACCTGTAGTCCTAGCAACTCAGAAGGCTGAGGCAGGAGGATCACTTGAGTCCAGGAGTTTAAGGCTTCAGTGAGTTGTGATCGCACCACTGCACTCCAGCCTGGGTGCCAGAGCGAGAACTTGTCTCTAAAAAGAAAGGAAAAAAGCCATGCACATACTCTGGGCATGGCACAAGGGCTGGATGGGAACTCAGGACTGATCCAGCAAACAAGAAAAGGAATTGGGGAAGGGGATGGGGATGGGGCCAGGGATCATTCCTTGAGAAGGGGACAGACCATATGAATGGGTTTCATTTTAAATTACTTTAAAAACACCTTACCAGGAAATTCTAACCCCAAACTAACTGGTTATTTTACTGAAAGTCTACTGTAATAGCACATAATCTGTATCTGTTTATTTCCCCTCTCAGGATACTAGCTCCAAACCCCTCTGAAATGTTTCCACAGAAACAAAGCACATCTTTGTCACAACCATAAATTAAATTCACTGCAGAAAAGATTAGAAATCTAACAGACTGTGCCAATGAAAGATACATAGTAACCTTCTACTCTCCCCTCACACATATCACAGGATGAATCAGTTACAACTTTTCCTGTTTTTCTTCTTTATTAATATATCCTTCCTGATTCCCACTCCACCCCACTCTTTGAGTTTTCCCTCAT